CTCCTTCAACATCATTAAGACCATCTCTACTTTGAGGAGGCAGGTCTTCCCCAGTCATGTTTTGAGAGTCCTGTAAGCTGAGAGGTTCATCTTCTGGCTCAATACGAGACAGTGTTCTGCTGTTGCTCATGGTTTTCGGTGGCTTTGTGTGGTGCTGTGTATTAGTGCACTGGACTATAAAGTCAGTTTGAATTGAAAGGTCGATGGTTCAAGCTCACCAGCCACTCCACGGAAATCCTATACAGGGTCGTTATGCATTGGAACCAACTTGTTGATACTTAACAACAGCAACAACAACAGTCATTCAGAAATGTTCTGCCTCTCTTTATTCCTTGTCTGTCTTAGTCTGGAAGCACCACTGAAACCTCTCTACCATATGGAGGCATAGCCTCCATCACCGTAGCAACACATAAACCACCACAGGATGAAAACTTGATAGACGAGTGGTGGGACACATGATATCTCATATTTAAATGTATAAGCATAGACAAATTGAACTGAGATGCAGTGTCCAGGTATGGCACTGCAGGATAATGCACTGTACAGAAAGATCAGTTTGAACCATAAGTTTGGAAGTTCAAACCTACCAGCCACTCCTCAGAAATCCTATACAGGTCTCTGTGGGTTAGTCCCAACTCGAACACATGTAAAAACAACAACAAAAAATATAGAAGTTAGAAATTTTCTTAGTTACCTGGTATCCATGCAATAAAAAATATCATAAATGGATACCTTTAAAGAACAGGACTTAATTTTCGTAGAGTTTTGCAGGGTAATATTTCAAACCAGGATCGAGGCTGCGTTAATTCTTTATATTTCAGTAGCCCTTAGTTCTTTGGAATTCTGTGACTTGAACAGAATCCTCATATGGAATCTCTCTTCTACTGTCAGTGTGTGTGTGTGTGTGTGTGTGTGTGTGTGTGTCTGTTATGACCTTTTATAGCTAAGCAATGATGAGGTCTAGTTCTGCTGTGGCACTGTAGCATAAGCAATAGGCCACATTGTCGATGGTGTTACCAGCTGCTCCTTGGAAAGCCTATAATGGGTCACTATGAGTCAGAACCAACTAGATGACACTTAACAACAATAGTAACAAAGGACCCATTGATTTAAGGTGTCACCATTAATATGTTCAGAAATGGTCACATTATTCAATCTAATCTCTATAAAGAGATGATGCAGTGCAATCTCTCACTTTTAGGATGGTTCTGAGATTCTTTTAGCATGATGAGCTTTCTATCCTTACGGCCACAGTCAAGTTTTATTTATAGGACCAGAACCAAATACACTGCTGTCAACTGGAGTCTGACTTATAGCGACCCTACATAGGGTTTCTGAGAATGTAAATCTTTATGGGCTCAGACAGGCTCACCTTTCTCCTAAGATAGGAGGCTGGTGGGTTTGAATTGATGATTGTTTATATGTTTGTATCTCTCTCTCTCTTTCTCTCTCTCTCTCTCTCTCTCTCTCTCTC